GATATCTAGGCTTAAAAATCTCATTCCTGAGCAAGCTGTTAGGGGAGAACATGGCATGTCTTAGTCAGCATGCTACAGGAAAATATAATTATCCAGTAAGACCCCAGTGCTGCAGTCAATGCTCTGGGTATGGGTGGCTGGCAGCCATGGGGTTGACATCGCACAACTGAACTGAAACCTATCATTTTTAAAAGGGGAGGACTGTTTCAAAATTTGCCATTTATTCAAATATTGTATTGCAGCCTGGATCTGGTATAGAATCTTCTTAGCAGGCTTGAATAATGTAGCACATTTTGGGACTGCACCAAAGCAATGGGTTTGGGATAAGATCTTCAGTGCTTCTTCTTAAGAAAGGCTGGGCCATTTTTAGATGCCGGAAGCCTCTATTATAAATTAATGTATCTAGACGAGAGGATGGGACATCTTAGAAGGTTGGTTGGGATGTTCTACTGTGAGCATCTGAGATGTTGAGACCACTGAATGGAGAAATTTGGTACATTATTATTCATATGAGGAGATGCTCATTTTTCAGAAGTACCACAGCCTGTGGGCAACTGTGCATAGGAATCCATTTGATGGGTGTTTCTTTGTAACTATATGTGAATCTCCTCAGAATGGAACAGAAAATTCTGTCTTTCATGTTAGGGGTAGAGGAGGAGCAGTTCAATTCTTCTTACATTTCTATTTTTTAAATGAGATAACTTTTGGAAAATCTTAAGAACAATACAGGAACATGAACAGAATGTTTTAGGATGCTGCAGGAATGAGAGTCCTGGGTGTCACAAGCATATGTTCCCAGTAGTTGTCCTTATCTGAAGTAAAGCTGACTCATTAGTCAGGATATTATGACAGAATTACTTCTTAGCTCATAGCAGCAGGAAACCTTGACTTCAGGATACCCTGCAGTTTATAAAAGGTCTGTGCACAATACAGTTTCTCCATTATGCACAGGCTTTAATATCAGAAGTTTTTCATTACTGTGACTTAATATTAACACAGTAAACTAGTCACTGTTTGTTTAGACCTAACATGTTAAGCCAGTATTTTTGTTAAAATACAGTTTCCAAATTGCACATGATTTCAGAGCTGATGAGGTTTTTACTTCAGACTGCTGAAAGTTTGGTCTGAATATAGAATTTTCCATATTAAACAAGTTCAACAATACAGTAATGCCAATTTGTTGAAAGAGGTACACCTCAAAATAACCTAGTGGTTACTTCCTACTCTGTCTGATTCAGAGCAGGGATGAGAACATGCGTTTCCCACTTCCCACGTGACTAACCACAATGACGATAGAGTTGGTCTCTCTTTCTCTGCCCACGGAATATTTATTTATATGAAGTAGAACAGTCTCAGGCAAGCCCCTCACCACCAGTTAATGGCAGCAGCCTTTCACAGGCAGACGTAGGGACATACAGGATCATAGGAAAGTTGGGCTGAAAGGTACCTCCACAAGGTCATCTAGTCCAGCCCCCTGCTCAAGGGAGGATTATCTCTGACTAAACCATCCTAGTCAGAACCTGAACTGGAGTCTCCCATATCTTATATAAGTTCCCCTGCCACAGGGCTGTCACCTGTTGTAGGAGAAAGTCTGGGTGTGTGCCTTTTTTTTTCAATTAAAAGATTTGGGAGCTCTTTTTTTTTTCTCCATGCAAGTGCAAACAAATTTCAAAGCCTTTAGGGATTTTTATCAAATGGAATGTCACTTTCTAATAGTCCTCAGAGGGTATCTGTCCTGCAGTGCTAGAAGGTCCCCTAAAAACCTACTGAACTGCAAAAAAACATACCGAACTGCAGTGGGAAGGCGCACAGACTGTGAGAACTTCATGTGGATTTTTGGAATCCAGGAACCTGTAACTTCTTTCTTCGGGATCATGCATCACTAATTTGGGAGGGTTCAGGGGTTTGCTCAGTTTAAGATAGAAGGTCATTTAGTTCACCATTAAAATCCATAGATGTAAACAGCCTGTTTGAGGGACCCAAATACTACTGCTGGCCATGGACTGAAGTAGCAAAAGCACTGTAGCTATTGCATATGATGGCCCTCAAGTTGGGATTTCATTTCCCTTCCTGTTCATGCTTTGCACAGAGAAAATGAGTAATTGAGTCTAGTCCTTAGTGATGCATAGGTGTTGTGTTTGCTTTAATTCTAGTGTCGTTTATATGACCTTCGTGCAGATAGAGAAGTAGCAATTTACTCCAAAGAGAGCATCATTTTCGGCGCTTCTAGTGTGGACTTCTCTCTCAGTGGTGAGACTTGAATTTTGGGGGTTGGCATGGGATGCAACTTGGATTGTAACATAATCCTTGTTCCATTTGATATGATAAAATGTTGATTATTACAAAGTAAATTAAAACAGGGAAAATATCCACCTACTGTAGTCATTTCTTTCTTTGTAAAAGAATGTGTTAAAGTTAAAACCACCTCAAATGCAATGAGACATTGTTACAATAAGATGTTAGTTAAGGAAATATCTATAAATAGTTCATAAAAGGTAAATATGAGTTATAGATGTTATGTTACAAGCTAACATATAGATCAGGGGTCAGCAACCCCCGGCACGCATGCCGACCGTGGCACACAAGGCCATTTTGCTTGACACACCACAGCCAGCCCAGGCTTTAAGCAGCTGCTGCCAGCCACGGAGCCCAGGCTGCTCCCAGCAGGCGGCTGGGAGGCCGCAAGCCCTGCTGCAAGACCGAGCTCCGTGGGCCAGCTGCAGCTGGGAGGCTGCAAACAGCTGCTCTGGGCTCTGGCATGTTGGCACTCCAGCACCTTCCAAGGTAAACGTGGTTTTCTCGGCACTCCAGCCAAAAAACATTGCCTCCCCCAATATAGGTGTTATAACTAAGTTACAAGCTAGTAATGGACTATTAGGAAAGTCAAAAGAATGTCAGGAGCAACAGGTGGTTATAAATAAGATACTGAACTGTTTAACTCAATATATGAATTTGTTAACCATTTATTAGAGCATCTTTTAATCAAAGGTTAACCCCTTTATAAACAATTTTATAATGCATTCTTAATCTGAAGTGTGAGCAAAATATTTTTCTTATATTATTTAAGTATAGACCTTCAGCCTATAATGCTACTTGAATTAATCTCATTTTAGCAGTTGAAAAGATACAGGCTTTTAATAAAAGCAAGATGTAACTTTCAATGCCAGTTTAAATCAAGCCACTTTGGAATGTATAGGTTAATCATTGCAAATTTAGAAGAAACGCATTCAGCCTTGTGTAGAAACAAATCATGCATCTAGAATTGGAGTGAAGATAGCCTTATATATGAGACAGTAGGAGACCTGAGTGATCCCTCACTCTGCCACAAATGTCTTACACCAGGTCTTTGCTTCAGCCAAGAAGTGTTAGCCATCTAGAAGGGTGTTTGTGCTTAAAAGCTTGCAAAGAACATTCTTTCCAATTATTTAGTTGGTCTAATAAAAGATACCACACTTACCCAAAGGCCCTTGTCTGCCTATGTCCTTTGACCAACACAGTTACAACCAACACTCCTAAGCCATCTAAATCATCACTTCATATAAATGCTATTCTTTTTGTAGGTCGTCTACTATTTGCTGGTTACAATGACTACACTATAAACGTATGGGATGTTCTGAAAGGGTCTCGTGTATCCATTCTGTTCGGACATGAAAATCGAGTTAGTACCTTACGAGTTTCACCTGATGGGACTGCATTCTGCTCAGGATCATGGGATCACACTCTAAGAGTAAGGAGGATTTTTCTTCTAAAATATGGAGATTTCCACAAGTAAATTGACTTTACAGAATGTCCAGGGGGATAGAAAATAAAACCAAATATTCCAAGAAAACTGAAGGCCAATATCATGGCTGCACCTTTGCAAAGATTAGATAAGGCTTAAACAATATTTTCTCTAAGTCAGCAATATATTTCCATTTTAAAGCAAGTGTTAGTATAACTTTATTGCTAAATATTTAAACACAAGGAAATTATCAAGTTATCATCTAAAAATTACCCCTCCACTCATAACTCTTTACTATTAATACTCTTTACCTATTACAAAATTTGACCTCCTTGTTTTATAGCCAGGATTTTGAAATAAAAAGTATTTTTACAGAATACTATTACGGTAATTAATTTTTAAATAGAATATTACTTAAATATAATTTCTTATTTATTTTTCTTTTCTACAGATCTGGGCTTAATTTGTGATGCTATATTCAAATGCAAATGAAGATTCATACCTTAAACTACAAGAAGGAAATCTCAATCTGCAAATGTGAAATGTTCTTTACTAACATTTAGCATTTCTATTGGAGTTTCCATGAATCATTCGTGAGTTGCAGGAAAAAAAAAACAACATACAACTTGATAGCCAAATATTAATTAAATAATTTGTTACATTATCAAATGTTGTTACTGAAAACACAAAAGAACACAACTAGGGTAGACAGTGTAATCTGCTTCAACACATAGCAAGCATCAACTTGTGGTAAAATAAAATGTTTTTAATTCTGTTTTTGAGACTACCTTCTTTTACTAGCAATAGTTTAGATAATTCTAAAAACAGACTTTTTCTCTAAAGTTATCTGTATGATAGAATTTAGTATTTCAGTGCACATGATGTATTTATTATTTGCATGAATTGGATTCCTTTTTAAAGTAACTTTGGGAGAAAAATTACCAATTTTATTGGGGTAGAGTATAAGACTTTTGAAACATTCCACAGTAGTGCATTGAATTTTGATGTTAAAAGTTAGAAAGAGAAAGCAGCTCTAATAGTTTACTTTACGTTGGGGTTATAGATGACTCAAGAGTGTTAATAATTAGGGGAGCAAACAGACTAATGATGATAGTAGTTGTCGTATAAAGGTATTTTTTGTATTTAAAAAACAGATTCCTTTCAAACCCAGTTTTTTTCTACTGTCTTTTTAAATAGAATTGACTATTTCATCTCTGTGATCTGAATGTAAAGAACATAAATGTATGCATAAAGATGATAAGCTACAAAGAAAATGGATATAATCATGATTTACATAATCATGAAGTAATATTTTAACTAGTAGTTTCTTAGAAATTTTTAATTGTATCACTTGGTGAGTGAATTTTCTGTTAATTGGAGAGGTGTTACATGCTAAGCACTAATTATAAAGATAATTTAATCTTTTCCAAGTCAGTCATTGCCATTCTGTGACCCTGATTCTTAACTGTTTAGGCCATTTTATACTACTTTAGCAGTATAAAGTGGCTTTTAATCTTTTCCCACTGTTAGGCTTCTTTGTGATACCAAAGCAGTGGAATGTGGCCACAGTGTAAATGAGAATTGGATCCTCTGAGCCTACCTCTACAACCCTATCCTGATAAAGCTTCTATCAAAGCTAATGGTGATTGATTATAGGTTGACTGTAGGAGCACCCCTGCATGGAGAATGAGCAAAACTGACTCTTTGGGGAAACTGTTTGGTGCCGTTCCTGCCGACATGTGCTGTGGTTGTGGTGGCCTCAAATCAGACAAACCACTCATCACAGTACTGAGCACTACCCTTCACACGCCTGCAGAAGTTATGTAAAATGAAACAGTAAGGCTGTGCCCATATTAATTCAGTGCTTTGTAAGGAGCATTTGTTCTGGTAAAGCAGGAACATATGGGCTAGGGACAGACATTCAAAAAGCCTAAGCCTGAATCTTTGCAGGTTAGTCTAACCTAGCTAAGGTAAACTGGTTTGTAACCGCATAGACATCCCAGAAATGCAGGCACATGCCTGAAGTGGCTCAGGCTAGAAGTGGGGAGTGGGGGCGGAGGGATGTTAGATCAGCCCTGCCCTTCGACAGCACTGAGCTGAGGGGGCATGGCCAGGCCCGGCAAAAGGCTCTGATTAGGTAGGGGTTCCCCTGCTCCCCTTGAGCAGCTCAGCAGGCAGTTGATAACACAGTGTTTATCACCCCTAACTCAGTGTTTATCAGCTGATTAAGAAAAGAAAAAGCTGCTTTCCATTAGTTCAAGCTCTTCCTAAACAACTTTTTTCATTGAAGGGACAGAGGGACATTACCAGCTACCTGTTGATTAGATACAAAAAGCCTTAAGCGGACACTGTCCTGTCTCCTTTGTCTGGTCTTCCACAGCACAGACTGTAGCCAGCATGTGGTCTGCGAACTAATGCTGAGGTGTCTGTGTAAGGCAGAAGGGAGAGGAGATCCCAGCTTAGCAGGGAATGATGAGGGGAGTGGAGAAGCAGGGGGAAGCCAGGCAGACGCCTGCAGTCTCTGCCAGAGCTGCAGCCAGGGATAAGAGGGGTGGGGCCAGCTCTGCTGTGGAGCAGAGAGCCCTGCCCAGCCCAGAGAGCATGCTGGGATGCTGGGGGAGTCTGGTTTAACTTAAACCAGGAAGGGGTCTGGGACAGACATTGCATAAACTGTTTTGACCCAAATCAGTTAAGTCTAATACTACATTCAACCAGGTTTATCTCAAACTGGTTTCAGCCATTTTGATACTGGTTTATGTGAACCGAACATCTGTTCTGTTACAGGTTTAAACCAGTTTCTGATCACTTAAACAGATTTGTGTGTAATGTCTGTCCTTAGCCATGAAATAAAAGACTAGAGAATAATGACAGTTGTAGCCATATATTGAAAACTACTAAGGTAAAAATGTGCCACGTGGTACCTTGCTCCTAAAATAGACCCAATCAATTGAATGGAAATACTTGAAAAGAAGGTGTTGCTCAGCTGGTATACGTACAATATAGTATGTCTTCAAAAAGATGAAAGGGGAATTTTATACTTGGGTTCAGCCAAGAATAAACAATTGTCTACTGGAAGTGGTAGGTCACACACATTAAAATGTCAGTAGTTTCACTCAGTTTAAAACTGTGATTTTTTTGAAGTTAAAACAGAACATTTGAGTTAGCAGCAGAGTCTCCTTGTTCATAAAAACATCCAGTTCCATTAATGCAGAACTAATATAGGGCACTGATACATACATTAACTTTACATAGAAAAGATCAACCTTCAGTCCCTGATGAAATAGTTGATTTGTTTTCACTTGGAAAAGTCAACTCTGATGCTATGTAATATTTGTGGCAAATTTATTCCTGTAACAAATTAGATGCACTATGGAAATTGTAATATGTCATATAGAGCTTACTGTGCAATACTGAGTTGCTACACTGTACACATTTGGTTGAGAGATTAATATTGTTTAGATAGTATTTATTGTGAAAATATTTGATTTTGGACATACTACATTGTGTTAATACTTATGAATGGCCTAACTATAATAAATTGTATTTTACATATTGAGAACACTTGTTTTTAGTTATTTTTCTGCCAGCTGGATACTTTTGTGTAAGCTATTGTTTCCATTTCTTGGCATGTACTTGTAGCACAAAGGGCTCCTTGCCATTTCTTCTGAAACCAAATACTTATTGTCCTGCAAATAGCCTGCTATAGTCAAAAGCTGAACCAGTTCTCTTCTGGAAACAGCCACAGTGAGCAGAGGTGACACTGCCACTTCTAGCCCTCAGCATACCTATTTAGGCCTCCCTCTTACCTGCAGGGAAGGAGGGGGAGAAGCAGGCAGCTGTAAGACTGACATTCTACACAGTGTTTCCCCCCTTCTTTGTGGATTAACATCTGTATCAAGTGGAAGTGTTTCTTTTCATGCTTATAAATACATCTCATAGTAAGATAGGATAGTTCTCCATAATACTATTGCCTTCCTCAGGAACCTACTGAAAATGAGCTGTCTGGATACCTGTATGACATGCAGCATAAAATCTAGATGCAAGTACAAGGTTCACCATATGCTTTGCTGTGACTCCAGCAAAACTTAGACACCAAATTACCCTGGACATCTTGGCCAGGTCTTTACTCCAGTAATATCATTACTGTATCCCCATATCTGTGGTCAGATGTCTGTTGCATACAAAAATTGCCAGCTCATAAAAACATAAATATAGAATTCATTAGCTGACAATTGGAAGTTTTTTTACTTTAACTTGCATCACAAATATTTCCTTATCTCCCCATCATACCTGGGGGTTAACAACAGTGGGTTGTGGGTAAATTGGAACTCAAAATCAGATTAAGGAAGGTAGTGATCTTTTGATATAACTTCTTGCTATGTCTGGCAAAATAATAGCATCAAAACATGACATTCAGTCTACTATATCTAACTTTCCACATTCAGGAAGACTGCAAAGGCCACATCCAGATGTGTGTGGACATTTGGTTCCCCAAATGTGTGCCACCGCCAGTTGTCCACGGGGAACGCCTATGCCACACACCCTCTGGCACATGGCAAGTTATTCTGGGTGGGGTAGGGGAGGCTGGGGCCAGTACTGCACTGGCCCCAGCAGCCCTACCTGGAGTCCTGGGGGCTTCCTGGGTCTGCAGCAGTGCAGCAATCCTGCCACATGGAGCCTGGCCAGCAGCAGAGCGCAGCTTCAGTAGGCCAGGCTCCAGCTTTGGGTGGCACACAGTGCCGCTTCATGCACCACTCCGTTTTTTTTTTCCCATGGGTTTTTTTGACCCCTGAATAACCAGGGGTAAAAAAAAAACCCTCCACACTGCTCCCTTGCAGTGTGGAGAACAACTGAATGTACAGTATGTGGTGCCATGGACATGTCTGCAGTGCCACAAACTGCACAGCCATGCTTGTCTGGTCGCACCCAAAATGTGTAAGAGGATATTTTTTTTTAACAAACCAACCGAAGTCCAAGTTTTAATTCCAGGGGTAAAGTTTTATGAAAAGCATGTTGAGGTGTAAACAGATAGGCTCAGTTTACATTTTCTTCAAGTTGTGCCTTAATTCAGATAAATAATTTTGGGGTTTTTTTGAAGTGGGGAAGTGGCTAAGGACACTGTCTGCCTAGAGTTAGACTCATTTCAGTAAGAACAAGATTGAGCTGTTGGTATCATTGAACTAATTGAACCTTTGGTTCCTTTAAAGTCTAAGAAACCCCCTCCCTTCCCGCCACAATATCAGGCCTCATTCCTGCATCTTTTCAGGGTGGAATCCTATGATTCTCATGCTCTTTAGATCAGCCCCAGGTACCCAGTGTGGTACCATCTGTGGTTTCTCTCACTGGGTTTGGCACCTGCAAAACTCACTACTTTGGGAATCTGACCATTGACACATGGTAGGATTTATGAAATGTCCTGCAATTATGCAATAGGTGATGGGATGTTTTGATTGTATAGGACATAAACCCAACTATCTTCCATGATTTGAAAGGTGTGCACACACAGAGTCGGGAATCTAATTTGGTGGCAGAGAGTGTGGTGAGCATAGATATATTAATGTAGGAGAGTGGTGAGTGAACAATAGCAAGGAGATTAGTATGCCAAACATGGCCTCTGGCAAATCTAAGAGGAAACTCACCAGGGATAATGAAAAAAAGTAGGAAGTGGTTTTGTGTACTGGGTATAACAAGATGGGTATGTGTGGAGTTTCTGGCTAGATCTCATCAGTTTCTGGAACTGAGAAGATGATGTAATGAAAGATCTAGCGGGATAAAATGGAGCAAAAGGAGAGTACTTTGGAAACAGCCAATACGGGACAGTTGGAAGAACAGAGGTTCTCAGCCTCATTAGATTCAAGGCGCCCCTTCAGTCCGGGGCGGGGTATGTGTGCGCGTGCTAATATTAAGCAGCATCCTAGTTGAGAGACATTGATTTAGAACCTCCCCCACTAACCCAAATTCTGATAAAACTTTTGTTAGTGTGTGGGTGTGTAACATCTTTATCTAATATTGAGTTGGCATGTTTTATAGCATTTTATAATGTTCATTTAAAGAACAATAACTGCTATTGGCCTTTGAATTTAATAAAGGAATTTTTAGTTGAATTCCTGATGTGGTCAATTGAATTCCAGCACATGTTCAGTGACCCAAAGTAGCCTTCTTGAAACAGAACATGTTTCATTTTCCCCAGCATGAAAAAGAGCTAGAGAGAAACAGGATTTTAGAATAATGAAATGTGTGTGCATCTCTGACCCAAGGCTTACTATCTATGTGGAGCCTTAGGCAAGCTAACAGTGCTGGCTACCTCTACTCTAACATTTAGGAAGGCCCAGGGGCATCAGACCCTTCTACAGGA